GCTTATTCGACAAATTGATGTTGAAATTTGTAGGCGTTCGCACAGTTCGTACAGAGCCTTTGAAAAGTAATGCTACACTGCTCTCAGAAAAGGGCACCAATTTTGTGAAAAGATACAATTTCGATATATATGTAACTCTGCTAACAAGAAATATTAATGAACTTTGCAATAATTGAGAATAAATTGAATTTCTTAAATATTTATCTTTTATTCGGGTTTTTTTTTTAATAAAATTATAAAGCTTCACAGCTAGAAACTCCTTTAAATTAGATACACACTTTAAATATGTACTTTGTATAGACTTAAGCCCGTGTCAATAAAATATCATTTTCCTAATACTATTCAAACTCTCATTTCTGAATTTCATTGATATATAGAAATATGTATTAAATTTAGAAAGTCCAACAAGCTGCAGTTGCAGCTTAATATTCTTAGAAACTTTATTAAATTAAAATTTACTAATTTAAGATGTGAGTTGTAAATTTTGAGTTGACAAATAATTGATAGGATATTTACAAGGCTACAAGATAATGTAGTCGTTCGCCTGAAACGCCATAGCGAAACATAAAACACCCAAAGCGAACTTCTATTGGTGGAGTCCACTGTGACATGGGCCCAAAGTTTTGTGTCGAAGCCAATAACTCAGGCAATTCCCCAAACGGGGTCGGCATGCCTTGGTTTTGGGTGGCAGCAGCACTTGCAACAATTAATCACACGTGGGCCTTGGTCCAGTCCGCAGTCCTTAGTTGGCGACATATGTGGGAAATTTTGGTGAGCTGGACTAGCAACCGGCAACTGGCAACTGGCAACTGGCAACTCGCTCGCTGGCTAAGCGAAAACATTTTCGGATGAATAATGACAGCTGGCAAAAAGTCAAAGGCGAGTCAAAGGCGCAAAACGGCAACACGACAAACTGTTGGGCAGAATGAAAAATGAATGCAGGTGCCACGCGCTGTGGCATGTGGGGAGTGTGTGGGGCGCCCAATCGATTGGCAGTGCCAAAAAAAAAATGAAGAAAAGTTTTAATGAATTTTCAGAGGCGTGATAATCTAGACGGAAGCCAGCTCCCATTATCAGCAACGTTGTCTCTACGGCATGTCGCTCACATCAAACGCTGTTCACGGCGGATCCGCGGCACGACCGAGTAATTCAATAAAACTTTGCGACAAATGAAGCACCCAACGTCGAGTTGCAGCTAACTTCAATCGACATCCCAGTGATGGGGCTGAAGCTGAGCTCTGGCCTCGGTTCAGTTCGGTTCGGTTCGGTTCGGTTCGGTTCGTGGGTAGCAATGAGGCGTTGGCTTGCAAATGAAAATGATTTCCTTCCATGTCATTATTATGTATTCTGGCGCGACGAACGCGAATGTTTCGACTTCGACTGGGACGTCGACGTCGACATCGACTCCAATCCACCAATTGCAAGTGGCTTTTCTCCTTTTCTGCTGCTTCTTCTCCTTCGTTGGCTCATCGAAAGTCCCGCTGAGATAAAAAGGGCAACAGCAGTGGGGCGATAGCTCTTAGCCAGCATCGAATTTGTTGGCGTTTGTCTGCGTTGTATGCTTTCCGTTTCCGCTTCCTTAGCTTTGCAGTTTGTTGCTTCACCCCTGCCCGTGCCCCTGCACCTACCCCTAACACCTACACCCTTGGCGGGTTTTTCGAAAATTTTTCGCATAAAAAATAATAAGAAAAGTTGTATGCTAATGCTGCTGGTGCTTCAGCATTTGCCTCTTTTCTCTCGGCTGCTGCTGCGTGTTTTATGTATTGCAGAATAGAAAAGGAATTGAAAAACAATTTTTGCATTTGGCATTTCACTGCTGGATGGGGCAGCTCGGAAACTTTCAAGGCGAACGCCTTAAACAAGAGAGATTCCAAGTCAAATACTTGGACATTGATTATGTGCGCTCTTAAAGTCGAAAAGTTGCCAATAGCCCAGCTGTGATTAGCCACTGCTGCGAGCAACTCCTTGACAACCATAAGAAAGAACAACAACAACGACAACAACAACAACCCGTGCGCAACAACAACAACGACCGCAATCTTTAAAGCAATTCCAAATGAGTTTCATCAACTTTTTAATTAGTTTTGCAATCAGAAAAACATCAAACTTCGCTGCAATTTAGAACAATCATTGGAGCCAGGACGGGTACACAGTTAGCCAGCGATATCAGAAAACTTGGCCATAATAATTTCAAAGGTAAATATTTATATTTGCGCTAATGCCCTGTGGCCATAATCAACAGCTTCTAGAAATGGCCACCGAAAACGAAGAACTGAAGAACTGAAAATGCGTCGCCTGCTCTTTCAAAGTAATCAATTTTTGAGGCCATGCCGACCCACATTGGCGCAAAAAGTTGCTGCAGTCCTACCGGAACCCATCCTCGTCAACAAAACCTGGTCGAGCTCATCCGTTGAAAGTTCAAACATCACCTGGCATAGCCGCTGGCATAGGGCTGGCAATGGCTCCGTGGGGGAGCGAGCTCTAGACTGACGACTACCTGTCGTCATTTTGTTGCTGTTGGCTTCTGAAGTGTTGTGGGCGTGGTCGTTATGGGTCATAAGAGTGTGAGAAGGGGGAGGGGGCTGTCAAAGTTTTTTTGCGCGCACACACAGCTACTGAAAAATTGAAATGCTGCCTCACGTGCTATGAAATTTTTTATATTTGTTGATTTTTGGCTTAGAGTGTTGACCAACAACAAAGTTCCCAGTTGCCAGTTGCCAGTTGCCAGTTGCCTTTTGTTTTTGTTTCTTTTTTTTTCAATTTTGCCCCTTTTTGCTCAACATTCCATATTCCATTTCGTTTTTCCTGTAGCTCAAGTTTCAATGAGCTCGTCCCCCGCCGCCATCCAAACGTTTTTCTGTTTTAGTTGTGTGTGACTTTTATGGCAATATTGGCAGCCGCACGCAGAAAAAATTGAAGTTCGGATCGCGTTGTTTTTAATAACTTAATATCTTTTGTCAATTTGCTGGAGCGCTTTAATTTGATTGAAACGAAACTGTTCAAAGTTTGCCTTTCGGCTTTTCCATTACTCCATTCCTTTTTAATCGCAGCAGCAGCAGCAGCTGCAAGGGTAGCAAGGTAGCAGCAGCAGCAAAATGGGAAACGCATCTATCTAATTGGTCTTTTGATTTGAATTTACCAATGGGTATGAAATGGGCAAGCTTAACCAGTGTAGACTTTATTAAATTATGTTAAGCAGCTACTTGGCTTAGTTGAAAGGACCAAAAAAGGATAAATAAATATATATATATAAAAGCTTTATATATATATATATATATATATATATATATATATATATATACAGTACTTCACTTTAGTCGGGCACTCCTTATAAACGTGTGCCTAAGCTTGCCTGTGCATTGTGTGTCCAGGGTATCCACAAGTAGCAAAGGCCCTACTAGAGCACTCTTACTAGTTTAAATATGTTTTTCGCTATTATGTTTTATTAGCATGTTACAAAGTTAATTTTAAGTTAAAAACATTTCGTTATTTTTATTGCAATATGAGCACAAGTTTAGGCTGAATTGTTAAGTAATAAAAAATTTTTGCATTTGAGTAATCCATAAAAATTTAAAGCGCCAACTAAAAAGGGAATTTCAACTTAAATTTCTCTTATAGAATGCCAATTATTTTCATGTTATGTTATTTAAAGTGTTTTTGATTTGAAATTCATACTTCAGTCTTTTCGCAAGCTTTAATTAGCTTTGGTATACTGAAATGTTGCCCTGAGCAGTGTAGTCACATGATGTTAAGCATAAGCCAAAGATAAATGAAATACATTAAATGCATATCAATACATATTTGCATTCACATTAACAAAAAAACTTCAATATTATTTTTATTAACCCGGAAATGCTTGGGTTTTGCGCTCTTTTAATTATCTTCAAACATTATGTTAGCAGCTGTTAGCCAATGCAAAGCTGTTGAGTTGAACAAACAATATGATAAAACGTCTTGAAACTGTACAACTCAACATTATGCTAACTCAACTACTAATAGATGCGAGCATATTCTAATAATCCTGTACACTTTAAGCTCGGAGTTGGGCTATGTCGTTATGTCGTGGCTTTAGTGTAACTGCTTTTCGTATTAGCTTTTGATTTGGATAGTGGCTTTAGTTAAATGCCAAGCAACTCGGCTGTGGCACGTGCCCAACGTGCCCGGCGCGCTCAGTGAGCGCTTTTTAAAGACATTGGCAGCGTTAACGCTGCGAGAGCAGCATAGAAAGCAGCCAGCAAGCAGAAGGACCAAAACTAGTCGCTGTGACAGGCATATTAAAAAGGACACAGTCACACATCGTGCCCCGCCATGACGTGCCAAAAACTAAGTAGTGTCAGTGCAGCCATCAAAGGGCATGCCATGAAATGGCGTCTACCTCATAAGCTCTGCACGCGCTTAGACAGGCACTACACGTACAGGTGTGTGGGCAGTGCCTATCCCCTGTGTCCCGATCTAGACTCCTAGTGCTCACCTGGATTGCTCCTCCTCAAATAGGCAGTTGGCATTACATGCCTTTTGTGTTGCCACCACGCTTGGCCTGCCAAAGAGATTGGCTCGGGGCTGTGTGTACTTGAGTGTGCGTGTCTGTATGTGTGTGTGTGACTGTGTCTGTATGTGTGCGTGTAAGGATTGCAGATGGTTAACCCAAACCCCCTGCATTTGCGACAGCCTCAACATAGTGGAAACCCAAACAACACTTCGCTCTTAGTACAAGTTGTTTTAGGGTAAGTGATGGGCGTGGCCAGGCTCAATTGTTAGCGATATACTTACACACGAATATATATTTTACCTAACTGTCGTCCCCATTTGCCCATTTGCCCATTTGCCCATTTCCATTTCTCATTTCCCATTTCCCCGAGCCATGCGCTGGCAATTCACAAATGCATTTCCATGGTTTTTGAATGTTATGCACGGACGTTTATTGAAATCGTTTTTCTTTCATTCTTCAAATTTGAAATCATAAGTGGAACTTAAAACTAATGCGAAATGCTTAAGTATATTACAAAACTTTTATTTTTCTCTCGTTCTCCTTCGTTCCTAGACCTGCCGGAAAAGTAAAACAAATGTCGGGCTCCTTTCGGAAAAGTACTGCAGTGCACGGTTGGGTATGCGACATGATATGACATGTCATTAACATTAGTCAAATACAATAGATTCGAGTTTGCTAGCACTACGGTCTTAGACATACATATACATACACATATAAATACATTTACATTGATATTCTATAATATATATTTGTTGCTGTTTATAAACGACAAAGTGACCCGAAAAACTCGTATATGCCTAGCCTAGGTTGGTGTACTATTTATTTTATGGATCTTGTCTTTTGCTATGTATCTATATAATGTTATGTTATGCAAATGCTCGACGTGAGAGCTCTCCAGAGGGAGCTTTTAACTGGGGTATCTTCAGAGGGCTTTACTTTTAACTACTACGTTTCTTGCATTGAAATGTCACATGTTTTCCACTTCTTTCGTAACATCTATCCTAAATGCTAAATATAGATGGGGGTAGCCAATCACTTGAAGGTTCCCTCGATGGGTCATTCATGTCGATCAACTACCGCCCACATTATACATAAATAAGTAACTATTTATTGTGGGGGACAACAATGGGCCCACACTCGTATCTTTAGCTCCGAAACTAGCGTTTGCTTAGGCGCCCCTTAAGCGCTATAATTTAAATATGTCTTTGGAAACAGAGTTGCGGACGTCGTCTGCTGTGAAATCTTGCGACGTCGCCTCTTGTTGTATTTACAAGTCTTGGTATGCTTCATTACCGCAGGTTAAACGTATCTGGTTATCTGAGTGTGAAACTCCGATAGACAAATCTGGAGCTGGCTAAACGAGGGTCGCTCGGCGGGCATGGAGGCCCAGCAGTAGGCCATAATAGTGAAGCTGTAATTAGCGGAGCAAAATCGAAAGGCGTTTAGTCTTCGGTCTGCTATGGGAGCTCTTCACCCTAGTGATACTTACAGTTCGTCGGGACAGTTAAAGGGCTGTGCCAGCCTATAGCCATCCTTTAGATAATGCTCCATTTCATAAGGATCGATCTCGGCATAAGGCAGCTTTCCCAACGTGCACATCTCCCACATGAGTACTCCAAAGGACCAAACATCGCTGCCTTCGTTGTAGTGGCATTTCTGCAGTGCCTCGAGCGACAACCATTTGATGGGTCGGTACTCCCCATCGCCCAAGCAATTGTAGTCACCAGAGAAGAGGTCACGGCTGAGGGCACTGTCAGTTAACTTTACGCGCAGCTGATCGTCAATACTAAAGGGAGCAAACGTTCAAGAGCAGAGGGTAGCGAATGGTCGATTAGACGGATTACAAATGGCAAATACCAAATCGGCGATTAGGTCGCTCTTTTAGACATATGCTGAATGTTGATGAGGGCTTAGCTCTACTTACACACAGTTCCGGGCCGCAATGTCCTTGTGAATAACTCCATGATTGTGTAAATGTTCCATGGCCATGGCCAGCTGGGAAGCCATTAGCACAGTCTGTATGGTGGTCACGCTCCGGGCATATGATGGATCCTGCAGGAAGGTCTTCAAATTACGGACACTGCCTGTGGCGGCGTAGAGCACAAAGGGTGTGGCAAAGTCTTCAATGGAAATGCCAAGCACTGCCATAACATTTGGATGTGTTGCCTCGTAGAGCATCATGGATTCTTGGAGAAGTAGGTTTACTTGTAGCTGGCTTGCATGCTGCGCCACAGTTTTGACCAGAACCTCTTGACAGTCGTTGTAAGTGCCGCGATAGATGCGCCCAAAGTTGCCCTCTTGGACAAGACAGGAGAGGCGCACGCGGCATTTTTGGACTGTCAGCTCTTGGAGACGGCGGTTGAACTCCTCAGGCTCATGCTCATATTCGCGAAAGGGCCGCGTCAGTGTCGCATATGTGGGTGTTATGGTCGAAGGGCAGACATAGATCGAATTGTGAGCAGTAGACGAGATAGTGGGCAGACGCTGAAAACTGGAGGTCTTGATCAAGTGCACGCCGTTCGAGGGATGGCGTTTCGAGGGACCCTTAGCGCAGTAGGCAATCAGAATGAGTGTCGAGACGAGCACCAAAGCCAAAATTCCGCCTACTATCAAAGTGATGAGGCCACTTGTGGGTGGCACTAGAGTTTCCCGCAACAGTGGATCGTATTCGTTGTTCGCACCTCCTCCAGCAGCACCGCGCCCCACAGTTACAGTTGGCTCCGTCACCAGCACACGATGTCTCTCCGTCGCCTTGCCATGCTCCCCGTTGGTGGGCGAATGTCCATCGGATATGACGTGCTCAGCAGTGTCCTCATTGTGTTCCGTGTAGTGGATGTCATCGTGACCACTCAGATCCGGATGTAGTGGCTCCTCGTCATCGTATTCCTCGCGTGCATCGTTCGGCTCGTCTTTCAAGCAAATTTTCTTACGCTTAAAGATGAGATTAGTATTGTTGTTGGTCGCCCGGTCCAGAATAACCTCCACGCTGATGGTCACGGTTACCTCGGCGGCCCGCGTGCCCGAACACTTGAGGCTGACGCCCCATGTCTGCGGCTCCTGCGGCACATTGCCAATTCGCGAGATGTTCAGCATAGGGCGTGGCAGCACGCCCACGTCCGAGGTGGCCACATTGATGCTGTAGGGCAGAGGATGGTCGACCAGAGACTGCCATGTGAAGGTAACATCACTGATATTCGCCGGCACCGGCACCGCAAAGTTCAGGGCATAGTCATTGATGGCACCCTCCCGCACGTAGTAGAGCTCCGCGGAAACTCCTGCAATAAGAAAGAGCAAAAATTTAGATGCATGTACGAAATGGCTGCTTACATGGCAGCCCAAAACTCAACCCGTCGCCAACGCTGAGGAAATTAATGATACGCTCGGTGACCCAATCGAAGTCGGGAAACTTTTGGCCAGTCACTCGAGTCGGCTGCATAATCAATCACCAGGGATAACAGTTTTCTTTACTTTGTCAAATTGATTTTCTTCAAGGAATGGCCATACTGCTAGCTGCCTGCTGCCTGCCGCCTGTCGCCTGCCGCCGGCTGCTGCCACTAGACTCCGCATTATCTGTCCACTTAGACACTTCGGTGACATATTGAACGAGTTAAATAGCTGAACCCCCAGCAACAGCTTCAAATGCCAGACCATTTCTTATTGCTTTCTCCCCCTAAAATCAATCAAAGACGACAAACAAGTTGGCTAGTAAAGAAGATTTCTATCTTAAAGGGGTAGCACTTGAAAGACTTAATATTCCACTCCAACAATATTAAGCTGCAAATAGTTTTGCTTGTAATATCTGGGCTTGCCTATACTAGCTACTCCTCTTCTCTAATTACTTCAGCTGCTATGTAACTAACATAGACTTCACTTAAGCCTTCAGCAGTTGAGGTCCATCTGCATAACATTTCTCTGTTAGTTAACAGTGAGAAGCTCTGGTTAACATTTCTTAGGCATGCAAAGCACTTGTTGATAAATAGAATTTAAACACGTATGATTTCGATTTACATATTTATATATATATTAAATGTATATATTAGAATATATATATAGATATGTATTTGGGGCATATGCTTCACTTAATACGCATAATATTTACATGCCATGTTAATGGCAGTCTCACATGTAAACTAACTGAGCTGTAGGTAAGGTGTATCTATCTCTATCTACAAGTCTCTCTAACCACCTGTCCACCTATCGCTTTCTGTATCTATGTCTATATGTATATATCTAATAGTTATGACAGCTCGGCTGATCGCTGCTCGCTCGCGCGTTGCCCTTTGTAATGCATTTAATTAAATTAGTTATAGAAACATGTGAGTCGCTCTTCTGGGGAACGGCCTACAGCTGGCGCCTTGTTTGTTACCTGAGCTGGCTGCACTTGCCACTTGCCACTTGCCACTTGCCGCTCTGGTGTCGGCTCAATAAATCAATCAAAATTATAAAATGCGACTTGAACAAAACAGAGAGCGGGACCCTTCCTCGGTTCGCGGACACGCGACGTTGTGTTCGTAGGCGTGTCCCGGGGGCAGGTTAAATGTTTATGCTTAATTAATGTTGATGTTGTTGCTTTGCTGCCGCTGCTGCACATATGTTGCATGCCTCACTGTGTTCATGGGGCCGCGGCTAGCCGCAGCGCGGCCTGTTTATTTTAGATTTTTATCGCAGTCGACGTCGCAGTTACATTTTATACTTGTACATTTTATTTTAATTTATGCCACTTATGCGTCCACCGACTGTACCTATGCCTGTGCATATATATGTATATATATTTATACATATCGTACTAATTAGTGAAGCGAGCCCAGCTACGTTCTAGTTGCCGTTCCCATTCCCATTCCCGCTCTCTCTTTCCCTGCACGCTTCGTTTGCACTTTGAAAATGTAATTAGTGAAAGCGGCTGCTGGTGGACCACGCCGTGATGCGTGTGTGTGTGTGTGTGTGTGAGTGTGCCGCAGAAATGTGACGTATTGCAGATATGAATACTGTGTCGCATAATGAACCAAGGTAGATAGCAAAGTTGTGATAGCGCGCAAAGGGTTAATGGGCCCCAGACATGTAACCTGGCAGCCACATTTAATCGAGAGGGAAATAGAAAAATTGCTGCTTAAAGTTGCCCCATTAAAGTTGCCTCCCTGCCTGCAATACACAATTAAAATTCCACAGACATCAAAACTTTCACGACCCCACGCACCCCAATTATAGACAAATAATAGCAAATTATTCGCTAGAAGCAACGAGCCAACCCGCTTTGCATCTCAAGTGCCAGGCGCGCTAATTAGAGCTGATTGCTGAACAAATGAAGTCAATGCCCCACACTCCTAATACACGGCTACAATGGCCAATACCGAGCTCTTCTCTCTTTCATTTCCTCTTTTGTCAGTCACCTGAAGAAAATCGATTTTCCTTATCCACAAAAAGCGGCAGACACCCTCAGCTGCTGCTAGCAACTTCGTCAAGCACCGCTGACATAAATGTCTGCCACAAAAAGTAAAAGTTGCCCCAAAAAGTGTAAAAGATGCTGTGAAAATATGCTTAAAGAGCTACAAATTGCCAAAGCATGAAAACTGGCAAGCGAACGAGAAGCCAACAGAGAATGGACTGCAGAGATACCAGATAGGAGTAATGTGTGCCAAGATGTTGATAAGGTGCGATGCAAAACCGACAGCTAAAGTGGGGGCAAAGCTGAGAGTGTGAAGCGCTCTAAGTATCAATGAGCTGATATGGATATTACAATTATATGAGCTTTTGCAAATGTATTTCTTAAAGCCTTATGAGCTTTGATTTATAGCCAAGAAACTCTTGTTACTATGATTACAACTTTAAGTTGATTTGTTGAAATCAAGTGTTCTTTATCTACAACTACTGAGACTTTCTGAATACAGTTGTATTAAAACTCATCACTGATTTATATTTGCTCAGCCCGAAAAGATATCCTGAATATCCTGAATATTGAATATTCAAGTCTGTCGTGGAATCCACCACCTTAAAGATGCTCAAGACCCTGCGAATGCTTTCACATTCAAACCTAATACACATTTTCGCGTTTTCTTTTAGCTTGCTCAACTCTTTAAAACATACTTAGCTATGCAACGAGTTCTACAAATAGAAGGCAAAAGCAAAGCGATTTGAATTCATGGCACGACATCTATTTAATTTCAATTACAACCCTAAAATACCAGAAGAGACGCATAAACCAAAACTTTGTATATGCCAAAAAGAAGAAAAAGGAAAAATGGGGAAAAATAAAATAAAATGGCAATTTTTGCGCCCCAAATACGACGGCCCACATATCCCTCCCATGGAAGCCCAGTCCAGCAGCGATCCGACTCCCTGCTTCAACCCTAATTTATGCAAAACCAAAAAGCTGAGCGAGATTTAAATGTATGTCTGAATGCATGTATGTCTCGCCTACTAGCTAGTGGATATCGCTTTATGCTTTCTTAACATATTTTTCCTCCTCTATGCTAATGCAGCGGTCGCCATTCCGGCCGCCCACTCTGCGTCATTTGGTCGGCGGCGTTGTCGTTGGACATCAGCCTGGGGATTTCGCAGGCCATAAATCCGAAATTGTCTTTTGACACATGAATATGTTGTGCATTAAACGCAGACGGAAGACTAGGCCACAGTCAGAGCCAGAGATACGCATTACAGAGTCCGACTCCCACTTTGGGCGTCAGACAACAGACGACAGACATTTTTATTATTATCAATGTATGTACGAGTTTTTGTCTGGGGCAAGCTTCTGTCTCTGCCTCTGTCTCCGTCTGGCTCTGCCCGCGGCTGATGATGACATTGGTGGCCACCGAACTGAAGCTGATGCTGATTTAGGGCCTTTTTGGGGTAGCGTATATGTTAGCAAGGGTTGTGACTATGATTCCTCCCTCCACCCCGTGCCGTCCATATCTCTGTCTGCGCAAAAAGACAAACTTTTTATGTGCTGCAAATTTGAATCTGGGGAACAGGGCAAGGCCCATGTTAATGTCTTTAGCAAGGGGCAATCATAACTCAAGCAAATTCAATTTGTTCACATTTGATTCGGTCAGCAGCCAAGTCGAGCCACAGACGAGCTGGCTAACCCAAAAGTCAAGAGCCAGATTTATGGAATGATGGAATGATGGAATGATGATGCGCTTGCAGCTGATTAAATCGCACTACTACAAAGTCAGGTAACTCAGAGACTTCACCGTCCGGGCCATAGAAGGTCAGCTTCATACAACGAGAAGACAAGTCAAGACCAGCCCAGGCCAAGCCAGGCCAAGTCAGACGAGACAAGGCGAGCCAGGGCCAGGTAATTTTTATGCCCAAATGGTCATGATTCGCTAGCTCGTTTGGGTTGCATGCTCGAATGCTTGGTTAGCAAGACGTTTCTCTGTCTGGCCAAACAACTTCACTTCAGCTCGCTGCCGAGGAGCGTCAGAGTGAAAGACAAACAAGCTAAAGGACATGTGAAGTGCACGATGCTCTCTGGCAACTTCATTGCCAGCCAGACTCTAACTACGTGCAGCTAGCAGCTCGCAACTCGCCACTCACAACTTGCAACGTGCAACGTGCAACGTACAGCGCCAACGGTAGCTGCCAAGTATTTCTATTTGTATTTCATCGCCCTGGTCGAGCAGCTGCAATTTATTTGCCTCGGTCTGGTCTCTGTGCCTTTGCTCTGTCCAACTCGGCTGACGGTTTTTGCCTTCAGGCCAGACGCAATCAACGTCGCCAGCCCTCAACCCTTTCTGGCCGTCTTGCAGTTTATGTGTTTTCTTTTATATTATCACCTCAACGACTGCGGCGGCTTCAGCTCCATCGATGCTGTCGGCTCGGACCTGAACCTGGACCTGGACCTGGCCATAAATTCAAGTTCATTGGGATGAAGCGGCCAGCGGGTGTTGCATAAATTATGATCTTGTAGATTTCTATGACAAACCATAAAAAAACACATTACGTTTATGGTGATGTCGCCATGAACGAGCTGTAGTTGCATTTTCAATTTAAAATGTAAATACAAACTACCCGAACCTCTGCCCCTTCCACCTCCCCACGCACACATACATTTGTGGAGAGGGCAATTCCTGGAAGAACTCCGATTCGTCCATTGCTAATTAGCGCTTTGTAAGGACCATTTGGGTCAAGGCACTCAAGCAGCACGATAAATGCGTAATTAATCTAGCCTTAAGTGCTTGCCTTTTAGTACACACATATATAAATCTCTTAAAGGCCCGGCCAAGCCCACAAAAATACGTGCAAATTATTAGCTCATAAAAATCAAAGCAACGCTGCA